CTTTGTGAAAATCTTCACAGCAATTCCAGGAAAGTTTAACAGAAGTACAAAGGCCACCCCCACCCAACAGTATAGGTGCCACCTTCCCATGGCTGGAGTCTCAGGTTGAATAAGCTGAACATTAGCATTCAAGGTTCTCAGCTTCCTGAGTGTGAGCACACTGTTATCAGTACCTCATGTTTCTTATTGACAAAGGACAAACATTGCTTGATTCATGTTTCAATTGCTGCCACAATCTCCCCTTTATGATGGGCTATAGATTGAAAATATGAGCCAAAATAAACTCTTATTTTCTTAAATTACTTTTGTCATGTCTTTCGACCCAGCAATGAGAAAGGAACCAATACAGGAAATTGGTCCCTATTAGTTAGAAAATATTCTGACAAAGATGATCATGTGGTATATGGGCCCTGGAATTGGTTTGTGGGAGGGATGTAGAAGAGCTTAAAGCTGAAAAGTAGGAAAGCTCTTGAATACTGTAAGCAAAGCAATTCTGGAAAGGGTGTGGGATTATCACATTCTCCAATGGGCATTTCTGCTGATTGAAAGGCAGACAGTGAATTCTGTGCTTGGGAGGTTCCTGTGGGGAACAAAGATTATACTGGGAACTGTGCTAAATGTCTTTGATGCTATATTCTGCCAAAAATCTGACTGTATTCTGTCCATATCCTGAAAAAATAAAGCGAGGTCAAATGTAAAGGTAATGGACTAAATAGTTTGCTATATTAAGAGTATACCATCCAGGCTGGAAGCCTGGTTGGAAATAGAATCAGTAATTGTTAAAGAAATTGATGCCACCAAAAAGAAACCTTCTCTTGTGCACTGGCAAAATAGTAAAGGTCTCCTTAAGGCAACTCATCAGGGGTTCCATGCTATAAAAGTGCAGGTTAGATGAAATAGAGCATGAATTGAGAATTATGCTAACGGAATTCCTTGATCAAAACAACCACCTCAGAGAGTTCAGTTGTCAAAGAGAACCAAAGCTACTATATCTTGGCAGAAGGCATTCAGCCTATCTCTGTAGCTTGTGGCTGATGCACTCCATGTACTGCTGGCTTTCCAGGCATGCAAAGCGAAAGAGACGGTGAATATAACACGAAGGTTAAAATCAGGATACTAGAAAGTTGCTGAGGCAATGTGTAGCAGGCTTAGATTCTCTGGCAGTAAGCTTGAGCTGTGGACGAAGCCCCATCACATTAAGCTGTGAAAGTGAAAGGCATTGCAGTGGAAACTTGGGTTGTGCTTATGCCAGAGATGTGAGTTAAATGCCTAGGAGAGCTGAGGCTTAGGAATAGGACTGACACATGGGAGTCATTATGGTTTTAGCTTGTGGAGGATTTGGATGTGCAGGACTACCCAAAGACAGTGGAGACCAGATGACATCTCCGAGTTCCAGATGCTCTCCATGAAGCTTAAGAATTTGGTTGTTACCTTCTCTGTGTGACATGAATAGATTTATTGGGTTCAATCATGCTTCCTTAAAACACAATATGCTATTTCATTTTTCCATATTAACTATTAAGTACAATGGTAAAAGAGAGACATGTTAATTCTAATACACACACACATACATAAATATACAGAGAATGGAGGATGCCAATGTCTCACTGGCACCTTCGTAATCAACACGGCAAAGGACAAACATTGTTTGATTCCTTATTTAAGTGAATATTATATTCTAAATGATAAAGTACATAATAAACAAAAATGAGTAAATAATATATGGTAGTGATGTTAAAAGTCCATGGTATTAGCTTGCAAAACATTATTTGTTCCCTTATAAGAGTTCATGGATACGATTGCTTTATGTCTTAGAAGAGACTTTGGACCTTTAAACAATTGTTAAACATTTAACAGTTTGAAGATTTTACAATGGAACTAAATTTATTTTCAATTATTAGAAATTGAATTTTTTTACTTATGAGTAGTACTCCATTGTGTAAATGTACCACATTTTCTTTATCCATTCTTCATTTGAGGAGCATCTAGGTTATTTCCAGGTTCTGGCTATTACACATAGTACTGCTATGGACATAGTTGAACAATTGTCCTTGTAGTATGATTGAACTTAATCCTTTAAGTATATGCCCAAGGGTGGTATTGCTCAGTCTTGATGTAGGTTGATTCCAAATTTTCTGGTAAACTGCCACACTGATTTTCAAAGTGGTTGTACAAGTTTGTGTTTCCACTAGCAATGGAGGAGTGTTCCCCTTACTCTGCATCCTCTCCAGTATAAATGATCGTTGGCATTTTTAATTTAAGCCACTCTGGTGTAATATGGTATCTCAGCGTTGTTTTTATTTGCTATTATCTAAGGGTGTTGAATATTTCCTTAAGTATCTTTTGGCCATTTGAGATTCTTCTGTTGAGAATTTTCTGTTTAGATCTGTACCCCATTCTAAAAATTGGGTTATTTGGTATTTCTTGAGTTCTTTATATATCTTAGATATAAGTCCTTTGTCTGATGTGAGGTTGGTTAAGATCTTTTCCCATTTGGTAGACTGCCTTTTTGTCTTATTGACTGTACAGAAGTGTCTCAGTTTCAAGAGGTCCCATTTATTTACTGCTGTTCCCAGTGTCTATGCTCCTGGTGTTATATTTAGGAAGTGGTTTCCTGTGCCCATGAATTGAAGGCTACTGCCCACTGTCTCTTCTATCATGTTCAGTGTGGTCAGATTTATATTGAGGTTTTTAATCCATTTGGACATGAGTTGTATGCATGGGGATAGATATAGACCTATTTTTAAAATTTGCATACAAATGGAAGGGACTAGAGAAAATAAAGAAACAGAATGAGGTAACGTAGACCCAGAAAGATGAGCATGGTATGTACTCACTTTTAAGTAGATACCAGCTATAAAGCAAAAGATAACGAGCCTAGTCCATGACACCAGAAAAGCTAGGTAACAAAGAGAACCTTAATCTAGAACTTATTAATTGACTATGCTGGCTGGTCATTGAGTCCCAGAGAGCCGGGTTATGCCCACTCTCCCATGCACAGGTGGCATGTCTCCTTACCTGGTGTGGGTTTCATGTGAGTTCTCCTTATCTAATCTTGAATTCTAATACTTGTACACCAAGCATTTAATCTACTGAACCCAGAGATGACTTCGGATAATTAATGCTCACTGAGTGTTAATGTGACTGGAATTGGAATCATTCAGAAGACACACCTCTGGGAATGTCTCTGAGGGAAATGCCATACAGGAAGGCAGTGCCACCATGAGTGTGGGCTTCCTTTGCAAGAACTTGGGCCCCAGACAATAACAGAAAGTGAGTGGAATTCCAGGCTATGGTTCTTTCTTTCCTTCTGACTGTGGGCACAGGGTGAGCGTCCTCACCAAACCTCCTTTGATAAGATGTACAATACTAGTGGTTTCTCACCTAATGCTGTCACCCTTTACCACAGTTCCTCATGTTATTCTGACCCCCCTACAAAATTTTTTCATTGATACTTCATAACTGCAATTTTTGTTGGGAGCAGTGAGACCGCAGATCCTGAATTTCTTGTAATCCCCTGATCTGAGTGCCTACAGCTGCTCTGAGCACGAGACCTTCAGGAGTTCCTGATGGCAGGAGAGTGGTTTCTGGTGGGTTTGGCTGGGCGTGGCTATCTCTATATAATCTGCCCCTGAACACAATAAAGGGGGCATTCTTGGGGAATTCAAGGATGGCCTGTGTCATTGTTTCTCTGTCTGTGTGTGTCTGTGTATTTTAACCTCCAGCTCCCTTGTCCGAAGCTCACGGAATGGGTTCTAGCACACAGAGCACAGACTCGGGAGTACGGTGCGTGGCAATTTTGCCAATGTTATTAATTATAATGTAAATATGCAATATATGACCCCTCTGGTGTCACAACTCACTTGTTGGGAACCACTGCACTCTACTCTTTAACAATGAACCCAAAGAAGTCATTTCTTAAGTTGTTTTTGTCAGACATTTTCTCATAGCATTGAGAAGAGTAAGCTATATGTGCGCCATCCCTAATCTGCTCAGTATCTATCTTGAGTAACTGTAATGTACAGTGATGCTATGATTTGTGCTCAAGGTCACAGGTATGGCTCACACAACACCTAGGCCTATAAAACTCTCAGTCTTGATGCCACCATCATATAAAGTCTTGATGGACAAGAAGAGACCTCCGATGAGCACTCACCAAAAGCTCTGGTTTGCAGGAATTTGCCTTGAGCTGTGTAGTAGTCGACTACTTAGCCAATGACAGACAAGGGAAGCTGCACACTCTTTATCAAGCTCCTGCTTGTAGGAGAGAGTCATTTTGTATGACCTCCCAGAGTCATCCCATCAAATGTTGCAAGCTCTGTATTTGTCCCAAAGTTATGGCTACCCAGCCCAGTCACATGTCACCAAAATTTTTAAGTATCTCCCTATCCTTCCCTCTCTTTACTTTTGCACTCATTTTTGTGTTCCTATGCACACAACTTCACGGGGATGATGTTAGAAGACATTTCTCCGTGTCTTTACTAGAAACTTAGATTAACATATACTAATTTTCCAAAACACTAAGAAAATATACTGTTTTTCACTTTAGAAAATAGATATTCTCTATGAAAATTGGATCCAGTTTTCATAAATACTAACCTCATTTTCCACTTTATCTTGACATTTGTGGTAAGGGGGGAATCACAGTGAGTAAAATACAAAATCACTTTAGTTCACTAGATTTTTTTTAATAAAAATTGTTAACTAGAAAGTTAAAAGTTAGTAGGCAATAAGACATACTGAGTCAGCAATTCTGAGAGGGCAGTGTAGGAAAAAATTCTGTGATGCACTTATTAAAAATGATGACGCAAGGGAAGAATGGGTGGTGAAAGCATCGCAGGGCATCTGAAGTTAAAAATATAAAGGCTGTTCTTGCTCAGGCCAATAAATGTCACCTGCCAGGAAAAAAAGTCGATGTTCCTTTGAAGTGAGAGGATACTTTATTCCTAAAGCATTTAATTTGTCAAAAGCTTGCCAGCCTGCACTGTGTGGACACTGACCTGTGAACAGGTACCAGAGGTTATTTGGTTCCAGTGTTTCCATTTCACCCCGGCGGGTGGTCTTTCTGTGTCGAATTTTATAACCAGTAATAAATCCATTTTGTGTTCCTGATGGGGGAGGAAGCCAGCTTACTTTGATACTCTGTAAAATAAAAAAAATATAGAAATTACAATATTGAAGAGAGAAGGACAACTGAGCAGATCAAGGACGCCACCCAATCGCAAGTGTGAATCAAACACAGAAGCAAGTTTGCAAGACGTGGCCTCCTAATTAAATCCTTTCCTAAATTCTGACAGCATTCATAAATGCTTTATTTTAATAAAAATGCCCATAATCTATGTGACTGATTACATTCAATATCATGTCTCCCTTGTCAGCATCATTAAGATGATAATAGCGGATTCTAAATAGCAAAATCCACAGAAAGGCAGGACTTGGATACAGCAGATGAGACAGCAACAAGTGGGAGCAAATTGGAGGCAAAGGAGAAAACTAAGTCTAAGACCATTTAAAAAATATGTTAATGAAAACCAAGCTAAGTTCCATTTAATAATCATCTAATTCTGGGCCTCTTTGCTTCCCGTACAACCTGAACTTGGTATTAAGGCATGTTGCTGGAAAGGGAGGTGTCTTAGAAAGCTTGAATATGAATTAAACTGCAGCTTCTTCCATTGAGAGAGAAACCCTTTGACTCTCACTGGCTGGACTAGCTGAGAATTCAGTGCTCAGAGTCCTTGAACACAAAGGCCACAGATTCAGATAAGAGGCACACCAGTGAGCAGAAATGGAAGGGGTTATCAGGTCCAAGACGTGAGGCATCTATATTTTCTTTTTTCATCCAGTTCCTATGGGGACTTAAGTTAGGGATGTACAAAATCAAATAACTGTTCATGACAGAAAATTTAGAACTTTGAACTAGACGAAAGGATGCAACCTGAGTTCCCAACAGTGAAGCCATAAGATGACAAGTCCCACCCAGGGACAAGAGTTTGCCCTTTGCAAGTTAACATTTAGAGAGACATTTTAGTATAAACTGATAAGTTTATATGACTTGATATCAAAGAAAGTCTTTGACACATGCATGCACACATACTCAATAGAAGGAAGAAGTACATAATAAGTTGACCTAAAAGAAACAATAATATTACACATAAAATAGCTTTGGAAAATATAAAATTCAACACCAAAAATCTAAGAAAAATGCTGGATCTTGAGGGTAATGAAAACGCATGGAAACCGAGATAGTAACTAAGCCTGAAAAATATGGCAGTAAAAATTAAGAAGGGGAAAGACTGTAGTGAATTGGAGAGAAAGAATAAGAAACTATTGCTTATATAACTATAGCCTCCTCCAAAATGTCAATGGTAAATTGAGAGGATAGAAAGACAATAGGGTATGAGGTTGAAAAATAGCAAAAAAAAAAAAAAAAAAAAAAAAAAGAAAAAAAAGA